TAATCATAGAATTTTATAAAACCCGATCCTCAAACCTTCCAGATATTTATTTATTTCATGTAAGCAGCTGAAACGAACGCTATAAACTAATTAGCATCTACGAAAAAAAGTGAATTTAATAGAAACTAGACTTAGGTGTTTATATAACCGACTACCATGCATTTTGTATAAAAACAAGTATTATAATATAGTAAGTACATCGTCCTCCAATACATTAATTAAAATTTATTAATTGATATACTTTGTCCTAGCACAGTAGTTAGCCGATTATTATTTTTATTGATATTAATTTATATTTATGAACTAGTGATAATTAATGTTTGAAACAGTACACTTATCAATATACAAGTGTTAACAGGAAACTATACAGTCACTTTACGTAAAAAAATATTCAAGGAACGCGATTTTTTATTGGTTGGTATTTCTGGTTACGTAACTAAAAACTACATTTTTTGTTTGTGTATTGAACATCACTCTTCTCAAGGGTGGTCAGGGATTTAAGATCGTAATATTGGACTGAACTTAGTCGTGTTTGATACAGTGAATGAAAGATATTAGGCAGTAAAGCTTTAAAGTAAGTAATAAATAATATCTTATACAATGTAAGTTAGTTAATTAGGATTATCTCTTATGAAGCAAATCTTAATATTTAACTTAAGATTGTACGAGGCTAGGATACTAAAACTGTAAGTGTATTCAGCACAATTTGTATCATTTAAGGCTTCTGTGTAGATTTTGATTACTCTTTCTTAAAGATGAAGAAATATTTTTCATTTTATAATTGTTGTTTTTGTTGCTATGTGATGGTTTTGTGGTTTTTTAACATTTTGATTTATTCTACAAATATTGTGTACACAGAAAAATTGTTTTTCTTTGTTATGAAACATAAAGATACACAATCTGTACTCTAACCACAGCGCGTATCGATAACTGGATTAATTGAGTTATAAGCCCATTAATTTGCCTCTGAGATATGGGAGCTGTATGCAGAGTAAGTTTAAAACCCACTAGACGTTAAAAATGTGAAAACAACACCCACACAGATATACAACAGGTATTTATTGTTTTATTTGTTTTATTACTTTTTATCTGTTGTGATGTCGGGTCCTCAAAGTTAAGGAACAACATAACAAGTGTATAAATATTCAAACGCTACCAGTATTGTTTCATAAGAGATGTATGTCCTTAAATTTTTACATCTGCCTTCTGTCCGTATAAAAATTAGGATAACTGTATCTTCTCCAGTTAATCAGACTGTTTTCATTTGTCTGCCAAAATGTTTGTTTCCATACACAATCACAATTCAGTGTCCTTAGCGGTAAGCATGAGGGCTTATGTCGTTAAAATTTGAGTTTTGATACCAAGCGGTAGGCAGAGCACAGATAGCCCATTATGCAACTTCGTAATTTACTACAAATACAAAAGTATTGTAATACAAATGTGAAATTGACTCAGTGTTTTAGCAATATCTACACCAGAAATTTTTCTAAGTGATATACAGAAAATGAATATTTTGTATAAATCTGCAATGACTTTTATAAATTTCATGAATGCTGTTATTCAAACCAGTAAAACTATATTAAGATATAAAGTGGTAAAACTGTGGTCGATAGATAAGTTCGTAGATTAATAAAATTTACAAAAGGCATCAAAACTTAGAGATCCTCCGGTGGATCAGCCTTAAGTTTCCGTGCTTACAGAACTAAAATCCACGGTTCGTTTATGAGTGATTGAAAGAGCGCTCATAGTTTAGTGCTAAAATCAACAACAACAAAAGCTAGAAGGTCTCCTAGTGAGAAGTGATCTTAAAACAGATTATTTATACTTATTTATATTTATAATTTAAGTTATATTTTTGCGAGTGTATAATAATGTCTATCCCATCTCTATAGAATTACTATACCACTTTTCAAGCATGAATTTTAATATAATTGATTTATATGTTCCGTCAGTACAAGGAGTGAAACATACAATATTTTTTGTAAAATATCTAGTTATTAATGTAAGCTAAAGACTAACAGAAAAGCTTATAAGTGCAGTATTTATATATTATGAACGTAACTTTTGATACAACGGTGATTTATTTTTTTAGAATGAATTCAAAACCATCCCAGTATTGTTCGAATAGACCAAGAAAGAGTTTAGAGTGGATAGAGTCAAGACTATCACATTACGTCTCGAAAATGGCCGGATCTAACTGGGATATTGTCTTAGACTTTGGATGTGGTCCAGGCAACGTCACCAAAAACATTCTTTTATCACACTGTCCAAACTTGACAAAAATCTTTGCCATTGATATTCTGCCAGCATTTGTTGACTTCGCTAAGGAAACATACGGTCATGAAAGGATTGAATATATGGTTTTAGACATAATACAAAGGTAAAGAGAAAATTATCCTTAGATATCTATATATATAGATAGTCATATACTTAGATATATATGGTTTGTGTTAAGTTACCTTAACGGGCTGGTTTTATTAATGAAACATGTTTTAGATTGAACCATTTCAATTGATTATATATATTTTTAAAGAATGTACATTTGTTATTGATATACCTACTTCATTTTTCCTCTTTAATATCAAATGATGGTGTACAGTGGTAATGAAGATCTGTATATGAAGTCAAGTTAGACTCACCAAGTCAGCATATGTGATTTTTCCCCCACATAACCCACTGTTAATACATATATGAAAATGTTATTAAAAGTAAGTTTAAGATATAAAGTTTTAATTTTTCGACAGTGAGTTGTTCATGGCCTTGAAGATGGAAAAAAATTGAATTTCCCATACTTAAACACCGTACATGTTTAACCCTTTCGAAAAAAAACTATTAATTTAGATAGTCGTGAAAATTGAAGATAAAAAGAAAGAAACTTCCTGTTGATAGAGATGTTATGGTATCTAATGTAAACAAACCATCAAACTGAAAAGTAACACAAAGAAAGTTAAGATAGAGAATTAAGTACATGTTATCTTTGAAAGTACCGTGATAAGAAATAAACTAACAGAAGTACCAGTTGTTTCATATATATGTGTCTGAGTGTGTGTGTTAGTATGAATTGTTAAAAACTTGTGACACTTTTTATTATAAACATATAAAGGGAAATGAATATAATCCACGAGCTATAAAATAAAGTTAATTATACACTGAAGTATGGACTTATGGAGAGTATAAACATTCTATGAATATAGTTGTGAAATTAAGCTGCCCTTAGATAACCATCTAAGTTACGTAAATAGTGGAAAAAAATGCCTAAACCACAATCTTCAAATGAAGTAAACATTATAAGAAGCTTAGGGACCCAGTTATCTAAGAGATGTAAAGTGTTGACACTCTGAGAGCTAATGTACAGTAACGTTATATCTACGAAATCAAGACACATTGTAGCTCGGACTTTGGTAATCCAAACTAACATATATTTTCAGAGGACATGCTCTACTGAACCCTTATGTCACACACCAAAGTTTAAGGCAATCTATTAAGAAATACACGAAATATAAAATCACCAATTTTGATTGAATTTTTCCTCCTATTTTTTTTCGCACCGAAATTACAGAAATTTTATTTGACAGAAAGACATACTTAACGTTTATGGATTTTTTTTCTAATTTGGTAACCGATATATCGTTGCAACCCACAATTAGATATCAAATCTGGTCTTAATAAAAGCAACAGATGGAAAGTTATTCAACAAAACCGCTCAAATTTGACCAAAATTGTTGCGCCGCCTACGCAAAACGTCACGTGAGCTGTCTGTCTGAAATTTTACTACAGCTTCACCTAAGAATAATAGTGGATCTTTTATTATTTATTTTTGTTATTGGTATTAAAGATGGCCAATTTAAAGTAGCAAATCTTTAGGGTGAAAGGACGTGCAGATATATAAGTATGATTAGGCCAAGCAAACTAAATTATCATTTTCTAGCTAAAGTTTTCAAAAAAATAATATGGCTGAACTCTCATTATTCGTTATTCATTGCCAAATTCAAAGCACTGATTTGCTAAACTTTATGAAATTTTCCTAATTAAAGAACTTTTAGCGTCATCTGATATTAGCTTAAGTAATTAGCGTAAATAATAATGCTTGATACAGCGTTACTATAAAAGGAGCTATTAATACTGTTTTAGGGAGGAAACGTACCACCACACTTATGGCAATGACAAGAATGTTACAGTGAATATTCATTCATTAGTTAGCTAGGCCGCGTATTTTGTTTTACCCACCATCATGCCCCAAGTGGAACAAAAAACGCGGCCTGTCTAACCTTAGTAATATAAGCCACCTATAATAATAGTATCCCAGAACTTTGATAATACCATCCGGCTATAGAACCTTAATAACACCACCCACCTATAACTTTAGTAACACAATCCGACTATAGTAACAGACTCTCTGGTATTAAAATATTATATTATCCCTCCATAAGATAGTCGCGTCCTCTGGTTCCACTTTGTGGAACTATGACGTTACGCCTAGCGCTCTCTCTAGTCTGTCCTAGCAACGTGCCCTCTGATGATACTTCGTGGAATTATAACATCATCGTCTCAGATGTCTATGATGTCATCGTCTTTACCCCTCCCTATTGCCTTAGGTCGACACATGTGTGGCACCCCTCTGATGGCGTGACGAATAATAAGCTCTCTAACTGCTATCATCTATTCAACTGTCTTATACAGTATACAACTAATAAAGGTGCTTTCCTACACATAAATGTCCTTCGGTGGAACAGCGATATATCTACGGACTTACAACACTAAAATTCGAAGTTCAATTCCTCGCGGCGGACACAACAGATAGCCCAATGTGGTTTTGCACTAAAACAACCAAAGTAAACAAAGACGGCGCTGTGTTTCATGAACAATTCTACAGATGACAACGTTTTTATTCTGAACTTCAAATGAAGACATTATATTTGTTGATTGGTCCTCAATTAAAAGTTGTGTTCTCAATAAACTGTATTTTTTATACCTTATGTGAGATCACACATGCAAATATACTGATTGAATAAGGTTTCGAAGGCTGTTTTGTTTATTTACATATTCCAAAATAAAGTATTATCTCTGTTTCAAAACCAATATTTACTTATAAATGTCTTGATATTTGTGGATGCTTATAATATAACATTATCAGATAACTTTCCTAGTGTTGACCAAATTATGGGGGTAAGTGTGGCAAAATGAGGGGCGGCTAGCATAGGTGGCATTTCAGTAACTTTACTCACTTATCAATCCAAATTATATCTTGAAAATAATTTCAACTTTATAACAATTGTATTTTTAGTGTGTGTGTGTATATATATGCACAGAGTTAATATTGTTTAGAAATCCAATAATCTTTATTTTTATTTTTAGGACCCCCCCCGCAATGGGTCAAGATGTTTGACAAAGTCTTCGCTTTCTTTTCTCTTCAATATGTCAAAGATTTAAAAAAATTTCTGAAGATACTTCGTGGTGTTTTAAAACCAGGTGGCTACTTTCTCTCTTTCGGTATAGCCTCAGATCCCCAGTTTTCTGTTTGGTTAGATATGTCAATGAAGGAAGAGTGGAAACAGTATTTCATCGTGAGAATTTATTATTTCTCATATTTATATTGCTTTTTATATCCTTTACCGATTTTCAAGGTGTATTTTAGAAATCTATTACCTATAATAGTGATATCTATTGAAAAGAAATTGTTAAAAAAGTCACCTAATACACTAACATATTTTAATAGTTGTAAAATGCATCTTAAAAATTGTTTTTGGGGGTTATGTCTAGTTGCTTAATTAAAACATGGTCCAAACACATTAACTACTGTGCTACGCCCGAGTTGAAGGGAATGGGGGTGGGAAGGGGGTATAATCTGTATATTGTTAATATCCTTTGATAAAACGTTAGTGTTTTGTTAAGGACAAAGATACAGATTCGGTTATCTGTGTTTAGCCCACAATGGGTATCGAAACCCAAGTTCTAGCGTTATAACATCACGACATATCGCTGAGCCAACGGACGATAAACATTAAAGTATATTACTTCAACAAAATTTCCAAATCAGTTTAATTATTTTAAGAATGTTAGATTCATCAATTAATGTATATGAAGAAAGAACTTATTAGATATTCATAATCTATATTTCCAACTTCATATATATATCGAAAATCACTTTAATTGCCGAATTCTTTATTTCATCGTCTGGGAAATTGATCAAAGGAAACAACACCCTTATTTTTTCCCACTTTAAAATTGGAATTCAAGACATTATACATAAACTGGAACAGTTGCAGTAGCAGTTCCAAACTTACTCCAGAATATCCGCTTGTTGCTTGTCTTTCTAACTTGATTGTCAAATGTTTAATAATACGTATGAAAATCCCATTTCATTAAATATACTTGGAAATATCTTCATCCCTTAAGAGTTCGTGCAATATCACAAAATATTCACTGTGAGTGCGTGATAAAAGTGACAGTCAATCTCTTAGCATGGATGGTGGGTTGTAGGGTGTTGTTAAATGGCTTAGACAGTAGTTCAAAATTGAGGATAGTGGCAGATAGTAACTTAGCCATAAATACAAATATCATCTTTAGGCGAAACCAACAATTTTATTGCGCTACGTATTTAGGTTAAAAATAAATAATAGATTGAAATAAAAAATTATATTTTATTAATCTAAGGATGTTTGGGGGTATGTTGTGGACAGAATAATGTTACTATAAATGATATCAATACATTTCTTTTCAGTAACTTGATAAGCTGTTTAAGTTAATAAATTCAAGCTTTTATTGTCACATAAAATGTACACAAAATGTTCAAATTATTATATTTACAAACAGGGTATAGAAAAATACATTCCGTTTACCCATATGTCGAAAGATTATTATAGTGAATTCAATAAATTGGCAGAAGAATGTGGATTTATCCCCATTGCTGTAACTTCAAGTAGGGAATCCTTTACAATTGATTCAGAAAAACAGTTTAAGGGTAAGTGTAGTGTTAAATTAAAATACGTACATAGTTAACACTACACTTACCCGTAAACTGTTTTCTGAATCAAAAGTAAAGGATTTTCATTAAAATACGTACATAGAAAACATTTTTGTTATACATTTTTGGAATTAACTTTATCAAACATGGAAATCTAATTATACTGATTCTAAAACTGTAATCTCAAATTGTGACATATTTATCAATTACTGGAACATGTATACATCATGTTTAGTCAAATACAAATATTTGTCATTTTAGAAATAATCAGAGTATATTATTAGAGTAAATTAAACAAATAATTCGTCAGAACATACGTAACAACCTATAAAGATTAGTGATCAAGGTTTTCTAGAAGTAAGTAAAATCAAATAGATATTAAGCTAATGAAGAAACAAAAATCCTGAAAATTAAAATTAAAATCACAGGTTATAATAATTTATAACTGAAGATTTCGTGGGTAACTGCTACATAGGTACCAGAAAGTATGATTCTACTGGTGTCACGCTTTTCAGGTATCGGATAGTGCATAATGCAAACTGGTTTGTCTTTCAATAAAGGGGGTAGGAGTTAGCTGGACATATATACATATGAAATTAAAAGCTGAAGTGTTACAGTTTAACTTGGTATTGTTGATGAAAGACTTTTGGTACAAGGATTAGTAAAATTACAAATTTTCAGTTTCTTTCCTTAATACCTTTAATGTTCTCATTACATTCAATAACATGCTCTTTAATAGCTACAGTTGATAAATTTTTAGAAGTGACTTGAAAAATGAATTTATATAGTGATATAGGTATTCCAATATTATTTAGGTATTACATAATTACATTTTTTTGTACTGGACATAAAAAGTCTGATAGAACCTTGATATGTTTCTGTATGTTATCCTGTTTGTTGTTTAAGTGATAATGTACCTACTTCATATATATTTATGTATGAAAACGAACTGTTCGCTAACATCTTTATTGTTTATAGCTAATGAATAGTTTTATTAGACTCATTTAAAACTATCTTATGCATTTACGGATTAGATTTTTAACCCTATTTATCTATTACTTAAACTGAGTTAGGTTTAATTTATATTTTCTACACTGTTGTTGTAAAACACTTGAAGTGCTTCACTCATTACTTGATTTTTAAGATTCGGGTTAATTTCAGAATATTGGGATATTTTCGCTTGAAAAGGATGAATTACCTACAAGTTTTGATTTTTTTCAGTTGCATTTAATCTAGTTAACTAAGAAACTATGTATCTTAAGTGACAAAATTAGCACGAAAAAGAAAGAACGCAACCAATCATATTAAGTCATCCTACACGACAGAATTTCTCTATTACATAAAACTAACTAGAGCACTAACATATAACTCCAGGAACTTCAATTTCTTTCCGGTTTTGTTATATCCCAATTGACACTTTACATTTAATAAATTACTGGCTTTTTAATTTATAAAAATAGACACTGTTACAGTATTGTAGTGTTAAATGTCATTACATAGTTTTAATTAAAATTTATTTTTAGATACGATTGCTGCTGCCGTCAGTGGTCTTTGTAGTAGTAATAAGCAGCGAAGTAGTAATCTTGAGATTATGTTGACTGGTGAACATTATTTATATTTACTCACAGTAAGAATTTTTTTATTATAACTTACAGATTTCTTTGAATCCGTTTTGCCCGAAGAAATCGTTAAACAAATACCATTGGAAAATGTCGAAAAATTCTTGGAAGACTATTGGAATACATTTCAGAAATATGAAGTAACTCACAATGCTGATGGAACAATCACCGTTCATAATACTGTTCTAGAGATTTGTTTTCAGTCTAAACATTCTAATTGAATTCTGTTAACATGACTTAGACAATATACTCTTAAGATGTTATTAGTTATCAGATTAAATCAAGACTAATTGTAGTGTTAGAGAAAAACAGAGTTGTAAGTTAATCTAGAACTTTAATAAAGTGGATTATTGACGGAATCTAATAAAAACTTAATGAACTTTACTAATTCTGTAAAAAATAAATAAATCATCTAAAAAGTATTGAATATTATAGATTTTAAATATCTAGAGTTTCATTAAAATTCTTAAAATGAAACAATAACTTTTCATTAAAATTTATTCAGTAATGGAGTATGTATTCCAAAATATTGCCTTAATTATAATGTCACATCAAGGTTCACTCGAAACATTTAAATATTAATGTTTCTTCTATTTTCATCTTCTTCATTATAATTAACAGTTTAAATAAAGAATTGGGATAAACGCAGCAAATACTGTTTTCAGCTAATGTGTCACTTTATTATTAATGGAATCTAATAAAAACTCTGAAATCTACTAATTATTTAACAATAAATACTGAAAAGAAATATGCATAAGTATTATAATAATAGTCTGAAGAAGTATTGAATATTATATATCTTCTAACCAGAGTTGATAAGTTGCCTTATTGACTAAACGTGGAATTGCTTCCAAACCAATACTACACTTTTTCAGACATATCTTTATCCACAACATAAATAAAGAAATGTTATATATTGCTTCTACCTTATCATTGCCAGAAGATATATATTTTGATACTGAATTGGACGTTCGCAGCCGCAAATGGACGTCATGTCAAAGTACAGTCAGTTAAAAACAAACTGTATTCTTAACGTAATTGCAGCAACACTGTCAATGAAGCCTACCTTATCAGGTGATACAAGTGTTTACTAAAACTTTCCACAACTTTAAACAAAACAAAAACTGATCATATTTTTGTCCTATTGCAAGAATGTTATCACCCAAAGTCCAATCCTTTGTCTTCGTTGGTGGGGGTGGAAACAGAACAAAGAATTGAATTACCATGTAAAGGAGATTAGCCCCTTAAACAAAGGTTTTCTTTCATAATATTGGTTAGTTAGTTTTACTGGTAGGAAAATGGATTCTTAGTTATATATATGAATGTAGAAGTATAAACAACAAAAGAAGTGAACGTTTACAGTTTTCATTATTAAATTACTATGGTGAGCAAATAGCTCCCACTATCACTTGTACATGTACGTGTTATATATGAGAAAATGTCTTCAGCTTTATTGAGGGACGTTCTTGATCCATGTCAAGAATACAAGGTTGATTGTCTAGGCTTTGCAGCTTCTTCCACGACTGATGATTGTCCTTGTTATTGACAATGTCTGTTAAAGGAAGCTTTTGTGTAATACACTAAAGTTCATGTTTTACCCTTCTTTTGTTCAAATTTCATGATTCCTTAGAGACAATTTGACTAAATCAAAGGCAAAGACGTCCATGAGATATGTCTGTGGATCGTAAAGAATGAATTTTCTTTAATACTTGCATCTCATGGAGGAAATGTTATGTTGACTTGGACGTATGACTGGATGTTTGTTCTTGGTGGAGTCTACCTTTATGATATCTTCGCTGTGCAGAGGTTGATACTTTCTATATGCTTAACTAATGGTGTCAGAACCTTAGTCTGATAGACATGAAGACTTCACCTGGAAATTCTTAACTTACCATTATAGCTGTAACGTGCAATCATTATGTTCTATACCATATAACAACAACAGAACGATAATAAATCACCTGTAATAATAAAGACATTTAGGTAAATATTAGCCAATGAACAACGTGCAACCATCATGTTCTATACCACATAACAGCAACAGAACGATAATAAATCACCTGTAATGATAAAGATATTTAGGTAGCTATTAGCCAATGAACAACGTGCAATCATCGTGTTCTATACCATATAACACCAACAGAACGACAATAAATCACCTGTAATGATAAAGACATTTAGGTAGATATTAGCCAATGAACAAAGTGCAACCATCATGTTCTATACCACATAACAGTAACAGAACGATAATAAATCACCTAGCCCGGCATGGCCAGGTGAATAAGGCGCTCGACTCGCAATCTGAAGGTCGCGAGTTCGAATCCCCATCACACCAAACATGCTCGCCCTTTCAGCCGTGGAGGCGTTATAAACGCCCATAAAACGGCAAAACTGAAAATTTCTTTGTATCTTCCCATGGACTTAATGAATTTCCATACCAAATGTGCGAAGTAGTGGTATAAAATAAAAACGCTCATAAAAACCACAAACTATAAAACTGAAACTACCAATTTTGAAGATCCATCTACACTCTGCGAAGTAGTTACATGGACCTACAACACTTAACACTATCATATTAATATAGACAATTCAATCATATAAGTCTGGTGCGAATCCGTGCAAGAATATTCCACTCACTTTAAGGTGTGAGTGTAAGTGGCAGTTAATCTTTTAGTGTGGAAGGCGGGTAATTGGGTGCTGTTGAATGGCTGTCTTCTCTGTTGTTAGGAGTTGAAAAATAGCATGATAGCCTTAGTAGCTTTGCCATAAATATAAATACTATCCTTTCAGTTGAATCTTAGAATATTGTTGCAACACTGATGTTATTTAAACATAAAAAATTGAAATAGAGTGTTGTATTTTATTATTCTAAGGAAGTTTTGGGCTGTCTTATAGACAAACTAACGTCAAGAATAGTAGTATTAATAAGTTTCCTTTAAGTAATTTGATAAACAATTTTTACTAACAAATTCAAAATTTGAATGTAACAGAAAATATATACAGACACATACATTGTTAAAGTTATATTACTGTTTACCCACAGGGGATAGAAAAATATATTCCGTTAACCCATATGTCAAAAAATTATTGTAGTGAAATAAACAAATTGGCAGAAGAATGTGGATTTGTCCCCATTGCTGTGATTTCAAGTTTGAAATCCGCCAATTATGATTCAGAAAAACAGTATAAGGGTAAGTGCAGTGTTAACTATGTACGTATTTTAATAAAACGTTTTGGTTGTAGATTCCTTTAATTCAGGATATATCTTGTGAATAGATTTAATTTTCTTCCTTTTTTCTACTCTGAATAATAAAATTTATTAAAATATTAAGTTTAGAATTGTCTTTAAATCGATGTTTCATTTAAGTTATTATTTTAGATATAAAGACAGGATTCCTATACCGCATCGCTCTTACGTTATATACAAATTTACATGTCCACGGTGAAACTTTGGCTATGCAGGCTCTACAATACGTTGTTTGAGCTCACGTATTAAAGAGCATGCGCAAAGTACAGCATAGAATCAGTCATATATCCTCCGTCAATGTTTACACTTCAAAACACTTTAACATCTTGGGAAGTGCGGATAGTAAAGAAATGCTATGCACTAAATAAAATTTGTGGATACAAGATGCGTTCTGAATTAAATGTTAATCAAACAGCGTAACCTTTGCTCCTGAAACTATTCTAGATTCCTTATTAAACACGGGAATCTAACTGTATCGATTCTAAAACTATAATCTCTAATTGTGACATATTTATCAGTAAATTAAAACATGTATACACCATGTTTAGTCAAATACAAATATTTGTATTTTAAATCTACCAAGAGTACACAAGGTGGCCATGAACACAAAATACGATGCTAAATTCAAGCTCAATAAGCCTGAAAACTTACACCTGAACCCACATTATGCCTGACATAATTTCGAGGAAAGTTTAGTCCTATGCTAAGGGGGCTCCATATAGTTACGAGTCAACCTACGAAGTTTGGTCCTGCACTGTAGAAGTTTGTTGAACAAACTTTGATACAAAGCAGGTGAAGTAATATAAGACAATTTGCAATTGTTAATGAAAGCCCATTTTTTACTTCATCAACAGAAACTCTGGTACAAATATCACTAAAATCAAACGTTTCAGTTTTAGTTTTTTTTATTTTTACCCTAAACGTCTTTAATTTTCTCATTACATTCAATAACATACACTAGCTAGAATTAATTAAAGCAGCGTTATAAAAGCGACTTGAAAGATGAATTTGAATATCAGTATAAGTAATCCAAAATAATTAAGAAATTGAATGATTAATTTTTCGTATTGGACATGAAAGTTTGATAAAACCTTAACATGTTTCTCTATGTTATTCTTGTTATTGAGAATATATCTAGGTTTTAGTACAAAGTTTCCAAGAAAAAGTAACTAACCTCATATACTAAAGCGCTAAAATATAACTTAAGGAATACTTGCCCCCTTTCAGTTTTATTCTTTCCCAACAATAATGTTTCATTTAATAAATGTTAGGTTTGTCATTCTATCTATATAAATAAAAATGTAAATGTTCGTTTGTTCAAAATCTTAAATCTCCGAAAGTTCTTCACCGATTGCTTTGAAATTTTGACACAACGTTGCATTCGAATACGCGCGTGTTTTTATGTACCTACTATTATATAAATGTCACACTTGTGATCACAGGTAAAAAAACTTGCTTTTTGAAAAACAGCGCCATCTGTTGGACGTAAAAGCAACACACAATATACTAAATATTTTATGATTCCATTTCAATGTTT